CGAAAACCTTCGTATGTTTGACGATTTCGGCCTCTTGAAGCGCTCTGGAGAAGCGTCTTGAAGCGTCGTGGAGTGCCTTGGGGGGCCTCTCGGGCCGTCTTGGGCCTATCTTGGGCGTCCTGGAGCGGTCTTTCGGCGACTCGGGGCCCGCTTGGGCCGTCTTGGGGCTCTCTTCGCCCGTCTTGAGCGCGTTTTGGGCCGTCTTGGGGCCCTCCAGAGCCGTCTTGAGCCCCTCTTGGAGGCCTCGTGGGCTCTCTTGGGGCGTCCGCGGGGGGCCTTTGAGCCGTCGTGGAGCGTCGGAAAGCTGAGAAGGCGGGAAAAGCAAAATGTGTCCAAAACCTTCGTAAAATAAACGATTTCGGCCTCTTGAAGCGCTTTGGAGAGGCGTCTTGAAGCGTCGTGGAGTGCCTTGGGGGGCCTCTCGGGCCGTCTTGGGCCTATCTTGGGCGTCCTGGAGCGGTCTTTCGGCGACTCGGGGCCCGCTTGGGCCGTCTTGGGAGCCTCTGGATGCCCTCCTGGACTATTTTGGACCTCCCCGGCCGCCCCGTCCTCCCAGGGGGGTTGGAGGCGGCGGCCTCCGAGGCCCAGGACGCGGAAACCCTGTAAAAACAAGGGAAAATGAGCCCCCGTCCCCCCATGGGGGGTGGGGGCACCTGTCCTGGGGCCCCGGCCTCGCCCCCAGGGATATATATATATATATATATATATATATATATATATATATATATGCTAGAACCATCGCGCGCGCTTCGCGCGCGCTCAGGTTCTAGCAGGCCCCAGGCCTTGACGAATTCACTGCTCCACTGAAGTAGTGGACCACAGTCCACGCATGCCAATCTGCATTCCGAAAGGCCTTCGAGGAAAATGGTTGTGTAGGGGGGCGGAGGCCGTATGAATCGGGTTCCCAGAAGGCCTTCTGGGAGCATGGGTTTGGGGGCGTCTTGGGGAGCCTGTTGGGGTCGTGCCGTCGTCGTCGTCGTCGTCGTCGTCGTCGTCGTCGTCGTCGTCGTCGTAATGTCGTCGTCGCCTATTGCGCGGTCGTCGTCGTCGTCGTCGTCGTCGTCGTCGTCGTCGTCGTCGTCGTCGTCGTCGTCGTCGTCGTCGTCGTCGTCGTCGTCGTCGTCGTCGTCGTCGTCGTCGTCGTCGTCGTTTCGTCGCCGTCGTCGTCGTCGGCTCAAGAGGGCACTTGGGGCAACTTTGTGCGAAACGATCTGCGGAGAGCCGCGAAAAGGCGATGAGTCATGTCCGCAATCAACTTCCCAGACAGCTCTCCTGTAGCATGATGGTACTTCGAAGCCTCCGGAGACTCGCGGGCCCATGATGAACCATGTCCCCGGAAGGCTTTCTGGGGACATGGTTTGTTGGGGCGTGTTTGGGGGTCTCTTGGGCGTTCCCTGGGTGCCCCTTGGGAGCCTCTGGGAACTCTCGGGCCCATGATGAACCATGTCCTCGGAAGGTTTTCTGGGGACACGATTTCTTGGGGTGTGTTGGGGTGCCTCTTGGGCGTTCCCTGGAAGCCCCTTGGGGGTCTCTTGGGGCTTCCTGGGGGCCTCTTGAGCGCCTCACGGGGCTTCGTGGGAGCCTTTTGGTGGCCTCTGGGGGGCTACAGGCGGCCTCTAGGGCCAGAGACCTCGAAATATCGGTTGGCGGTCCCCCTCTGGGCCCTCTCTTGGGGAGCTCTTGGGGCACAGTTGGGTTGTCTGGCGAGCCTCCTGGGCCGTCTTGGGGCCCTCTTCGGGGCCTCGTGGCCCGTCTTGGAGCGATCTGACGGGCCTTCGAGCGAGGCCGTGAGGGAGCGCTGGGAAGCGGGGAAAGCGAGAACGCCTAAGTCCTTCAAAAACCATAGGAAAATTAGTGAATCTTGCCTTCCAGGGCCCTCTTGGGGAGCCTCTTGAGTTCGTCCTGGAGCGTGTTGGAATCCTCGTCGGCCGTTTTGAGGGCTGCTTGGGCGTCTTCGGGGCCTCTTGGGACCGTCTAGGGACCTATCGGGACCTCCATTAGCCTGTCGCGGCCTGCTTCGGGGCGGGCCTGGGCCGCCTCGGGACCCCTCTGGGCCTTCTCTTGGCGCGCTCTTGGGGCACACTTGGGTTGTCTGGGGAGCATCCTGGGCCGACTCGGGGCCGTCGTCGGGGCCTCGTGGGCCTTCTTGGAGGGATCAAGGGACCTCCGCGGCCGTGAGGGAGCGCTGGGAAGCGGGGAAAGCGAGAACGCCAAAATCCAAAACTATAGGACAATTAGTGAATCTTGCCTTCCAGGGCCCTCTTGGGGAGTCTGTTGAGTCCGTCCTGGAGCGTGTTGGAGTCCTCGTCGGCTGTCTTGAGGGCATCTTGGGCGTCTTCGGGGCCTCGTGGGACCGTCTTGGGCCCTCTCGGGACCCCCTTAGCCTGTCGTGGCCTGCTTCGGGGCGGGCTCGGGCCGGCTCGGAAGATACCAAAATTCGCCAGAAGGAGGAGATACCCGACCTAACGCTGCTCCGCGCATGTTCCTCGGATCAGCGCGGATCCATGTCCCACCATCGCAGGGGGATGCGAAGTCCCTGGAGACGGGACGGGGTGGGCAGGGACTGGCATCATGAGCCAGCCCACAACTCAAAGAAGCATCATAGCTTCCAGCATCAAAGAACCAGGCTGATCCACTTACGGATCCAATCCACTATTTCCCTCAGTGGCGTCAACGTCATGCGAAGCAGCATGCTCTCCACCCCGCACCCCCTGGTGGGCACCGATGGGGGGAACGGGCAGCGGCCCGCCCCCCCCCGGGCCTACTCCGAGATAGAGAATCATGTTCCCGGGAAACTTTCCGGGAGCATGATTTGTTCGGCTCTCTTACGAGGGGGGCCTCTGGGGGCTTACCGAGGGGCGCCTTTTGGCCTTGTCGGCAAGCCTACTGGAAACATGGTTGGGGCGGTGGGCGGAAGCCCAAGGAATCATGTTCCCGGAAAGCTGTCTGGGAAATACGATTTACCGAAGTGTCTTGGGGGGCGGCAAGGGGCTTCCCTGGGGGCCCCTTGGACGCCTATTGGGGCTTCCGGGGCGCATCTTGGGAGCCTCACGGGGCTTCTTGGGAGCCTCTTGATGGCCTCCGGGGGCGTCCTAGGGGCCGGCCTCTCAGGCCGGAGACCTCGAAATGTCGCGCTCTTCGGGCCCTCTCGGGTCGCTCTTGGGGCTCTCTTAGGGCGCTCTCGAGGCCCTCTTGACTTATCTGGGGAACCTCCTGGGCCGTCTCCGGGCTTTCTTGGGAGCCTCTTCGGCCGTCTTGGAGCGATCTGAAGGGCCTCTGACGCGGTCGCGGACCGTGGGGAGGCGGAACATGGGAGAGCGCACGAATGCTTCAAAAGTCATTGGAAAATTTATGATTTTCGGCTTCTAGGGCACTTTGGAGGGGCATCTGGAGGTGCTCTTGGGGCGTTTTGGCGGCGTCGTCGGCCGTCCGGAGGCCATCTTCGCCGTGTCCGGAGCCTCTGGGGGCTGTCTTTAGACGTCCTGAGAACCCGGAAATCATGTTCCCGGAGAGGCTTCCAGGAACATGATGTCGAATGAGGCCCTCTTGGGCCTCCTGGAGGCCGTCTTGGGGGCCTCCTGGGCCGGCTTTGGGGCCTCTTGGGCCGTCTTGGGAGGTTCCGTCAGCCCCACAGGACGATCCTTTTGAGCCGTCTCGGGCCCTCTTGGGTCTTTCTTGGGCTGTCTTGGGGCTCCTCGGGGGCGTCTGGGGCACTGCGAAGACGAAGCAAGCGAGTATGCTGAAAATGTACGTTTTACGAAGGGAATGGGCATATGTTTGCCTCTTGAAGGCCCTCTTGGGGCCCTCTTCGGCCATCTTCAAGCCATCTCGGGCCCTCTTGGGCCTCGCTGAGGCTGTCTTGTGGGCCTCTTGGGCGTCCTGGTCTCTGGGGCGTCTGAGCACTGTGAAGACGAAGCAAGCGAGTATGCAGAAAATGTACGTTTTTCGAAAGGAATGGGCAGATGTTTGCCTCTTGGAGGCCCTCTTGGGGCCCTCTTCGGCCATCTTCAAACCATCTCGGGCCCTCTTGGGCCTCGCTGAGGCTGTCTTGTGGGCCTCTTGGGCGTCCTCGGATCCCAGAAATCATGTTCCCGGAGAGGCTTACGGGAACATGATTTCGAACGAGGCCCTCTTTGGCCTCCCTGAGGCCGTAGACGAAGCAAGCGAGTATGCTGAAAATGTACGTTTTACGAAAGGAATGGGCATATATTTGCCTCTTGAAGGCCCTCTTGGGGCCCTCGCCGGCCATTCTTCAAGCCATCTCGGGCCGTCTTGGGGCGCTTTTGGGCGTCTTCGGGGCCTCTTGAGTCTTTCTTGACCACCTGTACGGCCCGCGTGGCGTGTCGTGGGCAATTTGGAAGCGGCCCGGGGGCAGTCCCAGGGGGGTCTGTGACCCCCCAAAGGTCCCGGGGGGCGCCCATGGAGGATGGCGGCACCGGCCGGGCCCCACCCCCTGTCCTACTCCGAATCGCACGGGCGATCCCTCGACCACTCGATCGCACTATCGATCGCACTGAGTTGACTTCACTATTGGTATCACGATCGCCCTTACTGTCGTCCTCACTATCAGCCCCACGATCGATTTCACTAATATCACAATCAATCGCGACATCCATATCACAAATGTTCGAATCATCCACTATAGACTAAGTATATGGGTGTGTCTATGAATGTACATTGCTATATGTATACATACACGTTTTCGGGCCCCGCCACGCAGACGATCTGATAACGCACGCTGACGCCAACAACGCACCTGGCTCCATAGCTGGACGAAGAACCGCCGGCACCAACATAAAAACCGTCCGGGGTCCCCGCGGGTTTCTTGGTTTCGGCCCTGGCTCCCGTCCCTGGCTCGCAGGGAGCACCAGGGGCTGCGCCGGAGATGCTGCCAGGGGGTCTCCGCGCATGCCCGAGAATATGTTCATGCAATTTCTTTTCTTCGAAGGGCGCAGAGTGCGCGACTGCGGGATTCCAAAACGGCAGTCGGCGGCGGGGGCCTCTGACAGCTCTGGCCGCTTGGCGATCGGCGGCGGGTCCTTCGGAGGCCGCTGCGGGAGAGTAGGCGTGGACCCAGGCGCGGTGACCAAGTGCCTGTCTCCTCCCTCCTGCTCCTCCTCACGCCCCGGAGGTGGGGGTGAATGTGTCTCTCTTCGTGGGCTCCCTGTCGTCTCTATATATGCCTCTCTTCATTCTGACATCCCTGCGTGGTCTCTCCCCCTCCTCATCTTCCCCCCCTCCCCCGCCCAAGAGTGCCTCCCCTGCTCAGTCCCCCCCCCTGGTCGCGTGCTCCATGCCCTCCCCCTTCCCTCCCTCCCATGCCCCCTCCCCAGGGGTGTCAGTGCTGGGGCTCCCCTCCCCCACGGGGGCTGCGGCGCGGGAGGGGGGCCCCTCCTGGTGATCTCTCCCCCTGCCCCCTCTGGTCCCCCAGGCTGGGGTGCGCTTCGGGGTGTTGGGGTGCCGCAGGGGCTCTGGAATGGGTGGGTGGGGGCCCTCCTCAAGCATCACCAGGGGTTCGGTCCTGGGTCTTAGGCTCTTCCCTGGGTCCTAGGCCTGGGACCTGAGGCTCAGGACCCGATCATGGGCTCGCGTGCCACACCAAAGTGACCTGGCGACCCTGCTGGCCTGGAGGGTGAGGCTGAGTACGAGAAGACCACGTCCGTGACGGGGGGGGGATCGGGCCCTGACGGGGCGTAACGGTAACGTGGCCTGGGCCCCGCAAGGCAGGGGGCCTGGGCGCCGGACGACGACGACTAAGACGACGAGGACAAGGACGAGGACGTAGACGAGGACGACAACAACGACGACTAGAACGACGACGACGACGACGACGACGACGACGACGACGTCGAGTGGTTCCGACGACGGCCGCCACTGAAGGTTTCCGAAGTCTTCGGAGGCCTCAGGATGTCTCCGGAGGCCTCTGGCGACGCCTGCAGGCCCTCCGAGACGACGATGACGAGGACGAGGACGGAGCCACACGCCGAGAGCGACGACGACGACGCCGACCCCGACGAGCATGACGATGACATTGACGAGGATGAGAGCAATGACGACGAAGACGACGAGGACGAGGACGAGGACGACGAGGGCGACGAGGACGACGAGGACGAGGACGACGAGGACGGCCGCCTCTGAAGGTCTGCAGAGGTCTCTAGAGGCTTCGGGAGCTTTCTGGAGTCCTCTGGAGGCGTCTGGAGCCCCTTCGAGGCCCACGGAGGCGCCGACGACGACGATGACGACGAAGGCGACGACGACGACGACGACGACATCGACGCATACGACAACGACGATCTTCGAAGTCTCCGGGAGCCTCAGGATGTCTCCCGAGGCCTCTGGAGGCGTCTGCAGGCCCTTGACGACGACGAGGATGACGAGGACAAGAACGGTGACGAAGACGAGAACGACGACGAAAACGACGACGCCGACATAGACGATAACGACGACGACGAGGGCAAGGACGTCAACGTCGACAAGGATGAGGACGAGGACGCGGACGAGGGCAACGACGATGAGGGCAACGACGACGACGACGACGAGTACGACGACGAGAACGAGGACGACGACAAGGACGAGGATGAAGACGACGTCGACGACGATGCTGACGACGACGACGACCACAACGGCCGCAACTGAAGATCTCCAGTGGTCTCTACGGGCTTTGAGAGGTCTCTGGAGGCCTCTGGGGTCTCTTCGAGGCCCTCGGACATGAACAACGACGACGCTTACGACGCTTACGACGACGACAACGACGACGTCGACGACGACGTCGACGACGACGACGTCGACGACGACGCCGACGACGACGCCGACGACCGCGTCTGGAGGTCTGCAGAGGTCTCCGGAGGCCTCAGGAGATCTCGGGAAGCCTATGAGAGACACGTGAGGACGTCGACGACGACGACGGCGACGACGACGACGACGACGACGAGGGCGACGACGGCGACGACGACGACGACAGTAGCAACGATGACGATAACAACGACGACGACGACGACAAGGAAGACGACGACGAGGATGACGGTGAAAAAGACGATGACGACGACGTGATCGCCAGACCACGACGACGACGGTGGGGACGACGACGAGGACGAGGGCGAGGACGACGACGACTGCGACGACGACGGCGACGGCGACGGCGACGCCGGGGCCGCCGCTGACGACGACGACGACAACGACGGCCGCCTGTGGAGGCGGCTGTAAGCTATACAATGCCTGTCAGCACCGCGACATGACTGTGAGCACGGCGACACAACCGTTGGGGGGCGCCCCCCCCCATACGTTCGCCACCGTGAAGGGGGGGGGGCGACCCCCCCCCGTCACGAACATTACGGGTTCAACGAATGAAAATTCATATCATGGGAGTCGGAATCTAATAAACACAGAATCCGAGACGTGAAAACCAAAATCGAAATGCTGGAAGCTGCAGTCGGAAAGATGGGAGGCGCGGTTGGAACCATAGTACCTTCGTCGGAAAAGGAAATTTAGGCGCTGGAATCGGAAGAATGGGGATCCGGAGCCAGAAGATTGGGACACCGTGGGAGGGATGGGAACTTGAGACAGAAAAGTGACAGCTGGAGTCGGAGAGAGTCGGAGCTGGAGCCGGAAAGATACGAGCTGGAGTCGGCGCTGCCCTTGGCGGCGGCGCCAACTGCAAGCTTACACCCGCAGCCATCAGTGCCGTCGTCGTCGTCGTCGTCGTCGTCGTCGTCGTCGTCGTCGTCGTCGTCGTCGCCGCCGTCGTCTTCGTCGTCGTCGTCGCCGTCAGCGCCGTCGTCGCCGTCGTCGTCGCCGTCGTCGTCGCCATCGTCGCCGCCGTCGCCGTCGCCGCCGTCGTCGTCGTCGTCGTCGTCGTCGTCGTCGTCGTCGTCGTCGTCGTCGTCGTCGTCATCGTCGTTGTCGTCGTCGCCGTCCTCGTTCTCGTCGCTGTCGTCGCCGTCAGCGCCGTCGTCGCCGTCGTCGTCGCCGTCGTCGTCGCCATCGTCGCCGCCGTCGCCGTCGCCGCCGTCGTCGTCGTCGTCGTCGTCGTCGTCGTCGTCGTCGTCGTCGTCGTCGTCGTCGTCATCGTCGTTGTCGTCGTCGCCGTCCTCGTTCTCGTCGCTGTCGTCGCCGTCGTCGTCGTCGACGTCGACGTCGTCGTCGTCGTCGTCGTCGCCGCCAGTCGGCGCGGGGCGACGCTTTGGCACGGGCTGCGCTCCTGGAGCCACGCGGCGGCGAGCGCGCGGACCTGCAGGGGCGGCGCGGGGGGCGGCGCCGCGGCACGCGGCGCGCGGCGGGGCACCCTCAGCTGCCCCGGCCTGGGGGAACCCATCGGCCGAGGCAGCTGGGGCAAAGCGGCCGTCTCTGGTGATGGGCCTGTTTTCCGCCACCACCACCACCATAAGTTGGAGAGGGAGGGGGTCGTCCTTGAACCTTGATCCTTCATGGAGGTGCGGTCGAGATCGACCGCTGCCCCTCGGCATTCCATCCACCCGAATGCCCCTAAGCAGTCCGATGCGCCAAATGCGCGCCGACGATCGTGCGCGGCTAGCCGCGCACAAGACGAATAGGCATTCAGAACATGACGAAGTTTGTATCTGATATCCAATCCAGCGCCAAGCTGATAGTCAATCCAGCCCAATGCAACAAGACAACATACTGACCTGGCCGAACGATTAGTGCAGGACGCACGTCCCACTGTCGTGAACGAAAGGGCCGCCAACCGCAGCGATCAGAAGTCAACCTATATAATCAAGCAAGTGGGCGTCCCTCGCCAAACGTCCTGAAGAAACGACGGATACGTTTGATCATCGTCTTCTGGCCCTCCCGCGACACGGCGACATCTGCGCACCGCTTCTTGAGAACACGAACATTGCCACCGAACTTTGCCGAATGGCAAGCGCACGTGGCACGAATAACAGCATCCGTTGACCACGACGTCTCGTACCCGAGCTGTTTGAACCACGCATCAACCTTCTTCCTTGGGTCAGGGTCGCTCGTATCTTGAATGACTTGCTCCGCTTCTTCAACGGCGCCCAGCACCCGTCCGGCTACCTGCAGCGCCGCCTGCACTGCCTCCGTCCTGAAGATGGCGTACTGCTTACCCTCCTCGGTACTGAAGTCGGCATCCCTGCGAGCCCGTTGTTGCGAAGTCGGATCACGGTGGCCTCGAGCGCCCCACCTCAAGTTATCCAGACGCGTCTGCGCCTTGGCCGTGACCCCGCAATTGCGGCAACTCTAGGTCTTTAGGCCCTGCTGCAAGTAGAAGACATGCTCGAGGATAGCGATGCGTTTGTACTTCTGACGCTCGACCCTCTGAATTTGTCCTCCTTGCCAAGGCTGTTGCTGAGAGAGCCGAAGCTCCAACTGGGGTACCTGGCCATCATGCTTCCCGCGTCGAAGACGTGCAGCACGCACTCCACGTGGCCTCTCGCGACGGTGACTTCCCCCGCTCCTTTCAACAGAGACATCGGCCCAACGGTTGCCCAGTGCACGTCGGCTCCAGACCTGGTCCCCCCCCCTTCGACCACTTCCATGGAGTCAAGATGAGATGGGCGCTGTTTGAACTGCTGGGTAAACGGCCCCCCATTGACGGCCTGACTGTAAATATTGCGCCATGCTCCTGCGCGCCTGGCCCCCGCTGCTTCTGCGGCGTCGCCCCCGCTGTTGCCTGCAGCCGCCAGCGCCTGCAAGTGCGATATGATCGATCCTCCTTGTTGGAATGCTACACCGTCTGTAGCGCCGCATGCCGCCGGGCCAAACCAATAGTTTGTTGGCGCCCAGGCAGCCCAGCATAAATAGCACGGCAAGGGCACCCATGCTGAGACATCTCCACCGCCGCCCAGCCACATATGCGGATCTCAGGACACGCTGATGGCTAAGCCAAACCATCGGTGACGAGCACCACGGGGTCGTCGAGGTCCCTCATGCTCCAACTGCCCCAATAGAAGACTGTCATATCCCGGCAGGAAGCCCTGGGATAGCTGGTAGCTGCGGCATCCCTACCGGGAAGCCGAAAGAGTCGAGGGCCACCGCAGACTGCATGCTGATGCCGTGGGATAACACCGCGCCCCTGAACTTGCTGAGCCCCTCGGGCATGGGGCGCTCCTCCTCGCCCCCCAAAAGGTTGCTGACCGCCACAGGGCACTCGAACATACCATGACCGAAGTGCTCGTCCTCTTCGCCACAGCCTCTGCACTTGGTACCCAGCACGTTGCGATAATCATACAGCCTGGTTTGTGTCCACAACGAGCCCGACCGCAACGATCTCGAAACTCCCGCCGCAACTGGCGATTTAACAGGCGCCGCCGTGGCCCCAATCCCCAATCGTAGGCACCTGGTCCAGATGGTAGCGTTCGCCTCCGCCGCGGGGTGGTGCTCCAAGATCTTCTTCCTCTGCCGCCGCTGGATTCCCATCCTGATCATTGGGTTCACGAACATCGGCGGCGTCTTCGATAACGAGTGACTGGCGCCAGGGTCATCTCAGACAACCGTCGTAGAGACCATCCCCCAGCCAATGCGCCACGTCGATCAAATATTCACAGCTAGGGGTCCACGCGCCGTCTGCCGCGTGACCGTGCCCGCATGAAGGTTCAGCCATGCTCGCTCTACCTGTCCCGGACTCTGCTCTTGATTCCAGATTCCAGATAATCCGACGAACGGCGAAGAAAGGCGACGTAGTGGCGTCAGCGATCGAGCGATAGATCGCAACTTCTAGCCTCGCCATGTAGTGCGACGCTCGCGCCTCGCCCAAGATAGCAAACCATCCTAGCAACCACAGTTCGAAGGTGGCGGGGCTCAACGTCCGAACCACCACTCATCGTCGCACCATGTTTCGCTGCGGGCAGAAGCCCTGTTCCCCAGAAGGCCGTAATCTTGAGGCCAACCATCTGCATGAACATGAAGGTCCGTTTGGTCTGTCTTTTGTGTACCCCCTTACGCCTCAGCGCCACTGCCCGTCGAATCTCCATGCCATGATATTCATGACCAAAGCACATTCCCAACCATCCTGTGGTGTTGGGTCCTCGTTTTGAAGAGACGTCGCCCCGCGTTCCTTCCTTCCCGCTGCCCCCTCCCTCCTCCCATCTTCATCATCATCGTCATCATCCCCATCATCGTCATCGTCATCATCATCTGTCGTCATCATCATTATCACCACCCATGTCGGCACACCCCTCACACGTTTCGTGACCCCATAGGGAGCTCCACCGAAGGTCCCAGTGCGTGTGCCCGCATGCGTCCCGCACACCCATTTCGGCACACCCCTCACACGTTTCGTGGCCCCATAGGGAGCTCCACCGAAGGTCCCAGTGGGTGTGCCCGCATGCGTCCCGCACACCCATTTCGGCACACCCCTCACACGTTTCGTGGCCCCATAGGGGCTCCACCGAAGGTCCCAGTGGGTGTGCCCGCATGCGTCCCGCACACCCATTTCGGCACACCCCTCACACGTTTCGTGGCCCCATAGGGAGCTCCACCGAAGGTCCCAGTGGGTGTGCCCGCATGCGTCCCGCACACCCATTTCGGCACACCCCTCACACGTTTCGTGGCCCCGCTCCACCGAAGGTCCCAGTGGGTGTGCCGCATGCGTCCCGCACACCCATTTCGGCACACCCCTCACACGTTTCGTGGCCCCGCTCCACGACCGCAGGGGTGGCCCCATCTCCACCGAAGGTCCCAGTGGGTGTGCCCGCATGCGTCCCGCACACCCATTTCGGCACACCCCTCACACGTTTCGTGGCCCCATAGGGAGCTCCACCGAAGGTCCCAGTGGGTGTGCCCGCATGCGTCCCGCACACCCATTTCGGCACACCCCTCACACGTTTCGTGGCCCCATAGGGAGCTCCACCGAAGGTCCCAGTGGGTGTGCCCGCATGCGTCCCGCACACCATTTCGGCACACTCACATTTCGGCACACCCCGTCACAGTTTCGTGGCCCCATAGGGGGCTCCACCGAAGGTCCCAGTGGGTGTGCCCGCATGCGTCCCGCACACACATGTCGTCCCACCCCTCACACGTTTCGTGGCCCCATAGGGAGCTCCACCGAAGGTCTCAGTGGGTGTGCCCGCATGCGTCCCGCACACCCATTCCGGCACATCCCTCACACGTTTCGTGGCCCCATAGGGAGCTCCACCGAAGGTCCCCGTGGCGCAGTCCACATGCGTCTCCTTTGCCCAGTACAGCGTTACGTGGCCCCATATGGAGCCCCACCGCAGGTCCCAGCCAGCCAGCTAGCTCTCTTTGCTCCGCGCAGCGGGCGACCCGCGCGCGTCGCTGGGACTCCTCCGGGGCGACCTGCGCGCGTCGCGGGGGCTCCGTGCTGCGTTCCGCCCAGCGCCTCGCTCGCCCGTCGTCGCTCTGCCCAGCGGCAAGAGCCTTGCCCGCTATCAGCCAGCCAGCTAGCTCTCTTCGCTCCGCGCAGTGGACGACCCGCGCGCGTCGCTGGGACCCCTCCGGGGTGACCTGCGCGCGTCGCGGGGGCTCCGCGCTGCGCTGCTCCCGCAGCCTTGGACTTTTGAGTGCGCGGGCAAAGAGGGAGTAAAGGAAGGGGAGGAAGCGGGCGCGATCCTCGCGGGGGGGCGCGCCGACATTGGCGTCGCGGCGCGCGGGCGATGCCGTCGGGGAGTCCCGGGGAAGCTCCTTGCGGCGGCCACGCCCAGCGTCACGAGTATTCAGAGGCAGTCGTTGTCAAACTATTGGCATTCATACACATTTGCACCACGCTTTGTCATATTCGCATTCATGCACGTAGACTCGCTCGCACGCAGATCATTCACAGTCAGACGCACGCGCGCAGATTCACCCGCGCTCAGTCTCCCTACGTACTCAGATCAATCGTTTTCGTTCACTTTGTGTACCACGCCACTCATGTCGGCACGCCCCTAGCACGGTTCGTTGCCTCATAGGGATCGCCACCGAAAAAATGAATCACTATTGCGGTACTCGCACCTGCATATGGTTGGGTCCCTCGTCAGGCTAATTATTTTCTTCTTCTCCGGGATGAGTCAAAATTCCGCTGCCCCGCGAGATGCCTTACCTCCGGCCTCTGTGGTCGAGACAAAGCCTGACTTGGCCACCGCTGCCAATTGGTCGCCCGAGCAATGGTGTTCCTGCACCGCGAGCTCGCGGCAGTCAGGCTTGAGCGCTAGACCTCAACCAACGGGGACAAGCCTGCGCAGTTGGCCGTGCCCATGCGCCACTTGGCCTCCCCCGCGACATGATGTATCACGAGGGGTACTGTGAATTCAGCGCTTCCCAGCCGACGCTCAACTTGCGGGCGCTTGCCTCCCGCGCCCGAACACCTGAAGTAGCCGGCAACTTCGGACAGACCCTCGCGGTGCACGTTGGCGTCGCCGTAGGTCCTGGAATGTCTTGCCCATGCCGCGATCGCCGACGACGGCAGGCATCGGGCACGCGACCCCGAAGATGTCCATCATCATGTCGACTACGTTGTCCAACTCACGCAAATGAGCCGCTGCCAGAATCTCCTATTCGGTCTTGTGGCATTGCCGAGGAAAACGAAGGAAGGCCCGCCGATCTCCTCGCCCCTCACGCCAAAAGACAACCCAGATTTCGGCGATGCGTTCTGGCCCAAAAGTCATGTTATAAGTCTGATCCGGCCTCCTGATATGCTCTTCCCGATCAGGATGCGCGCGATAAGCCTGGAGATCAGCCTCGCAACATCCTCGCCGACCTCCAGGATCCTGAAACTGCTCGCTACGAAGGTACCAAATCCAACGTCCAGCAATGCCTCTGGCGCCGTCCCGAAACTGCTCGACGATGGGGGACTTCGGCGGTTAGTTGCACATGGCCTCTTCAGCCGACGCCGTCTGCAAACTTGAGCACTCTGCCCTCGCGTCGGGAACGATCCAAGAGTCATCAGCAGCCCTATGCCATGAGAGGGTCTGGCCAACCGAACTGCGCGCCCTCGTCGCTGTATCTCCCAAGAAAGAACAAGTGTCTGCCTGCCCCTGCCCTTGACCTGGACGTGGACCTTTGCCTTGTTCTGGCAGTAACTGGACCATCGCAAGTGGAATCAAACAGAGAACCAACACAACTGCCAATGCGAAGCTGCAAGCACTACTAGAATCACTAGAAAGCCTGCATGATTCCTAGGGTTGCTCCTGACGCCGCGCGAACAGCTTGTTGGCCGTGCGCCGAACATCAGCCTCGCCCATCTCTGCTGTCTGAATTCCAACGCCATCAAGGTGCCCACGAAGAGCGCCAACATCCGCATCTTGCGCTGAGACAGTGGCTGCGGGCGTACCTGGGGCTGCACCGCCTCCTCCTGGTTCCCCTGCTGCAGCGACAGCGGGTGGTGGCGCACACATTGCGTTGCCCCCTGATTCAGTTGATGCCAGGGCCATAACGAGCTCCTCGTCTTGCCTGATCTTGCCCAACACGTTCTCGTCGACCCCGTGGCTCTTGAGCAACTGTCCGAGCGCCTCAACCGTGAACCCAAGCCCCAGCGCAGCCGCCCGTACCGCTCCACCAAGTTCGCTAGGAGGTCGCAAAGTCGAACGCACGGCCAACCCCTTGCGCTGCTGCTCCAGCGCCAGCATCGGCTGGCGCATCTCTGCAATCTTGGACTCGTCCTGCGCCGCCAGCGCCTGCGACTTCTCGACCTCAGCCTTGCGCGCGCCCAGGGTACTTGAAGGTTTCGCAATATTGTCACCCATGCGAGGGCACTTGCGAGACAGGTCGGAGATCTGCGTGGCAACTGGCTTGATGGCCCTCCGCTTGGCGTAGAGCTCTTCCTGCAATGTGAGAAGGCTGCCGCATGCTGGACCCAGTTCTGGTACTTGCGCGACCCGCGCTAGCGGGCGCTTCTGGAGCTTGTCCTCGGCGCCGTCAGTATGGCGCTGGAGCTCAGACGCTGGTTCAGCAGTTCGACCTCCATGTTCATCCATAAGGTTAGCATATCAAACTGCCTTCTTGGCGGCGATATCACGTCAAAGACGCTGTACTTTTTCGAGTCTGCCATCTTCTCTGCTTGGTCGGGCCGCTTTCCCCAAGGAGACCCGTCGCGGTCGGGCCAGAGAGAAGGCGAGGTAGTTTCGCGGTTGCCCCCAAAGACGACCCACTTGTGTAGACGGCACCTGACGTAATACAACTTAGAGCCAAAGTTGAGGAAGCGAGTGTCTTTCTTCGGCCCCCAGCCGTACACAGTCTTTGCAGTGCCAGTCCTCCCTCTCCCGATCTCTGCTGCTTGCCCGTGAGAGCCCCGTCGTAGTGGTTCGCCGCTGCCAACAAACCGAGCGCCCAAGAGAGTTATTGGTGTACGAAGTGGCGACGTAGCGCAAAAGTGAAAAACGTGGGACCAACCCAGTACCGCATGGAGTAAGGTGGGGCCGCGCCACCCCTTGCCGGCAACGCCCAGTCCCTGAGCGAAACGCTTGAGCAAAAATGGCTCGAGCCAAAATGGCTACGGAGGGAGGGGG